CCCCCCAGCCCCCAGTCCTCCGTCGTCGCAATAAAAAAAAAACCACAAGAAATAAACGCAATCTCCAGGAAGCCTGAACCCGGTCTGCGGGTGAGCGGGTTGGCATGCGTGTGCGTGTCCGCGCCATGAACCACCGGAGGATTCTGCCGCTGCCAGCTCACCGCGGACGACGGCGGACCATCCCGCCACTCTGCCCCCACGCTCTGCACCCCCCCCACCCCATCAATCCCATCCCCCCCTACACACACACATCAATCCCCTAAGAGCGATTAGAGGAACTTGCTGGAAAGCTGCGTCATTAACGCACCTCGACCAAAAACCCTCTTTGAATGCAGCGGCTGCGGCGGCAGACGGGGCTCACCGGCTCTGCAGACCCTCGCAGCACATGCAGCTGACTGTATTCCTTTAATCCCCACCGTGTGCGCTGCTATCCGTGCCCCTCCTGCTCTCCATAGCATCTGTATTCGCCGACACACGTCCCTCCTGGTGGTGCTGGTGCCGATCACAGAGCTGCTCCCGCTTCCTGTGCCGCTGATCTGTTTCTGCCTGGCCAGAGCCGTGCGCTCCACTGCAGGCGACCGCGGCGAGCTGCTTTTTATCCCCCTCCTCCTCCTCCCTTCCTTCCTCCACGGCGGTTAGTGGCGCATCGCTCACCCGATCAGCTGTCACACGGACATGGTGCTGCCCGCTCAGCGGTCATTAATAACTGAGCAACCCCCACCTCTCCCCAGAGACCAGCCAATAGCCTCGGAGCTCCTGGGAGCGGAGGGGGGTCTGCAGATGGCTCTTTTTGATTGGCCGCATCAGCTTGTTTGTCACAAGGCTCCGCCCCCGGATTCCTGAGGCATAAAGGGAAAGCAAGAACCGGGGGATGGATATCTGTGCTCTGCTAATCCTCGTGCATTTGCTGTAGAGTGCTGTGCAGAAAAAAGTTTAAATGCTCCATCTCTTATGTGGCTGAACGCTGGATGTTGTCAGGAAGTCGGAATAAAGAGATACATGACACGTAAATGGTCTGCATGTCCTCGGCAGAGGTTAACGTTTAATCCGAACGCATCTATCAACGTTTTAAATGCATCTGACGATGATGTCTAAGTGGAAGTGAAAAACACGAATTTCCCCGGCTCCATTGATCCATAATGCATTGTTTGAATGATTATTATTTCATTTTGATCCTGATCATCGGGCTCCATCGCTGCTCCGTTTGTTCAAAGCGACGTGAATAATTTATCCCTTCTATCTTCACATCTTGGCCGTTCATACAGCCGGATGTTTTTGCCCGGATAATATTCCTTGAGACTCTGCTGAGTTCCTGCGTGACCCCTGACCCCTCACCCCCACCACCTCTCTTCACCCCTGCGGCCTCACAAACGGCCTTCCAAAAATGAGCTGGCGATTCTCCGTAATGCCGTAACTGGGCCAGTAGCAGTGAGGCCCTGGTGCTTGCTGGAAGATCTGCCTTATCTGGTGAAGTCCATTTATGTGATTTTGATATCAGGTTGTGCTTTTTGCACAAAGGCTTCAGCTTTTCAGTAAAAGTAGTGGGGAGGGTAACGATTCACAGGGTCCTTTTTGTGGGATCGAGGCTCTAGTGTAATTCATTTACTGAATTTCACATTTGTAAATGGTTTAGCAGAAACACAGCATCTCTGTTTAGCTGACTTTGTCACCCATAGCAACCCATGCGGGTTGGCTTATACAGTTTGATGTCTCACACACTGCCAGGATACTAGCTGATCCAGTACAGTCAAGGTCATGGGGATACGGTCCTTGTGGTCACTGCCTGTGGACATCTCGCATCCATGTGAGGCTCCATCCTACATGGAGATAAAGCACTGGAGGAGTCAGCAGACTCTGCCTCTGCGTATTGCAGTGAGCATACGCTGTCCATCTGGAAGTGAATTGAAGGGCCAGCCTGTTTAGAAATTGACCTCAGTTTTTTAAAAATCACCTGAAATTCTGAAAAATGCAGTTTTAATTCTTCTAGAAACATCTATTTCTCTTTATGTGTCTTTTCCCCAAAATACAGTGGAAAAACAGTCATTCACTTCCCTAAAAGTCTTTAAAGTGTTCAGTATACAGTCATGTGAAAAAATTAGGACACCCCATTAAATATTTAGTTCTTTATTTAAAAATATCAACATATCAATATTAAATCTTCTTTCAAATTATATGTGTAGATAAATGTGATGTAATTGTATCACCTATGCAAAAACATGAAACAAATTCACTTATTTAACAAAAGAAATTAACTAGGATGCTAATTTCCACTGAGGAAAAAAATAGAACACCCTCACATTAATTACTATTTAAATGCCTAGAGTTAGGTTCAGGTGCATTTCAGGTGAAAATGATTAGAACATTGTTACACGGCTTCTTGGTGGAGTCTGTCTTATTTAAACCTCAGACATTTAGTTTGGTTTGCTCTTGAATGTGGAAGTGAGCGGTATCACTATGGTGAGATCCAAAGAGCTCTCTGAGGCCTTCAGAAAGAAGCTTGTAGATGCATATGAGTCTGGGAAGGGATATGAAAACTCTCAAGAGAGTTTGGAATCAGCCATTTCACTGTCTGGGAAAATAATTTACAAGCGGAGAACATTTAAAACAATTGCTAAAATGCCCAGGGCAGGCTGTCTTAGCAAGAGCAGACCGTAAGATGCTGAAATAAGTCTCCAAAAATCCTAAAATGTCATCACGGGACATACAGGAAGCCACAGTTGATGTCAAGGTACATGCATCTACCATCAGAATGACACAGCACAAGTTTGATTTACATGGGAGGTGTGCAAGGAGGAAGCCCTTGCTGTCAAAAAAATATCAGGCCAAGTTTGCCAGAGACCACCTAGACAAAGACCAGGACTTTTGGAACACTGTGCTTTGGGCAGAAGAATGTAAATCTGAATTATTTGAACATAGTGTCAGAGGACACGTTTGGTGTAAACATGATTTTGAGCAAAAGAACCTCATAGCAGCTGTGAAGCTTGGGGGTGGAAATGTCATGGTTTGGGGCTGCTTTGCTGCAGCAGAAACTGTCCAGCTCACCATCATAGAATCCACTATGAATTCTTCATCATATCAGAGGGTGCTTCAGGACAATGTGTCTGGAAGTTGAAGCTGAAGTGGGGGTGGACCATGCAACTTGACAATGACCCAAAACATTCTAGTAAATCTACCAAGAAAGGGTTTAGAAGAAAGAAATGGACTGATCTGGGATAGCTGAATCAAAGCCCAGATCTGAAATCTTATTGCGATGCTGTGGGGTGATTTGAAACGGGCCGTGCACGCGAGACACCTTTCAAACATCACACTGCTTAAGGAATTCTGCATTGGAGAGCGAGGAAAACCTTTCTACAATTACAGTACATCACCTTTATCTACAAATATAATTTGAAAGAAGATTTAATATTGGTATGTTGATATTTCTTAATAAAGCACTAAATATTTAATGGCTGTCCTATTTTTGTCACATGACTGTACATATACTAGAATATGCCCCCCCAAATCCCAGCTGGAGCTTTTTCAGGAAGGAGGTGTTCCGAGTTCTGCCCGCTGTCCGTGTGTCAGCAAAGTTTTTAATGCAGCACAGGTGCAGCTTTTGGGAGATCTTCAGCGGTAGGTACAGGCTCCCCATCACCCAGGGGCCCAGATCACAATGCATTTCAGTCTCATTAGCGGTAGCCAAAGCCATTTTTTAAAATGAAACCCGCTCTTTACGGCGACACAAACGGGAATCGGTTTTGACATACATTTCCATTGTGCAAAACCTCAGATCAGTCTTAGAGAAAAAACAGCTGCATAGCTGGCATACAGAATTTGTAACCCAGAAATTTTTATTGCTCGAATTCCCAAAAAGGCACATCAAGTTTAAGTAACCTTTGTCATTTAAAACTAACCTTAAACCGGTGAATATGTAAGCACTGTTACTATCTATGGCATTGCATATAATAACGTAACTGTTAACTATCCATCCAAATTTAAACTAAGCTTACCCAGTACAGGGTTGTGTGTTGGCCAGAGAACCCCAGTATCCATCATTGTGGAGCGCAGCGAGAGCCCTGTGACTGATGCTCGGCTTGAGCGGGCCCCCTCCGGACCCGCACAGAGATGAGCTCTTATGCGTTCTGCCAGCTCCCTGAAGTATGCAGCGTTTCTTGCTGTCCTGGGACAGCATTTGCGGTGCAGAGATCTGAATCCCAGGAAGACACACTCGTATTCTAGAGAGCAAAGCAGCCAGAGCAGTGGCTGCAGCCCTAGGGCATCCCAGGGGCTGCGCGCATCCCCAGGCAACGGGGCAGCTGCCTCACCATCTCTGTCCTCTGCCAGGTCTGTCCTCCACCTCGCTGATAATGCACACTGCCCCCCCTCCCGCTATACCCATTCAGTGCCCCCACCACAACACCGACTCAGCGCCCCTCCATCACAATAACCATTCACTGCCCCCCCCCTGCAATACCCATTCACTGTCCCCCTACTATACCATTTAATTATTCTCCCTGCTATACCAATTTTCTGTCCCCCCCTGCTATACCCATTCACTGTCCCCCCACTATACCGTTTCATTATTCTCCCTGCTATACCCATTCACTGTCCCCCCACTATACCGTTTCATTATTCTCCCTGCTATACCCATTCACTGTCCCCCCGCTATACCCATTCACTGTCCCCTACATAATGCTATAAATCCGCAACAATTTCTAGTTCACAAGGCCAGCACTTGTTCTAGATGTGCCTTCCAGTTACTCCAGTGAGCCTATCTACCAAATATCCCAGCTTTAACGGCTTAAGTTCTTCCCGTCCAGTGCAGTTATTTCACGGCGGCGTAATCGCGTCATTTCCTTGCATTCGGCTCTGCTAATCCCACTACTGTGGGTGTTAATGTGTTTCTGACCCTTAACAGTGAAGCATTTTTTTCTGGTATGGCTTCCGAATCGCTCAAGGTTTCTGAAAGCTTTGACTTCAGGAGCAGATGTGAAGTATATACACCCCCCA